TAGGCTCGCTGGGTGAGGGTCACAGCTCAGTCCCCTCCAGCACTGGATTTAGAGCAGCTGGCTCATGGCTGTGGCCTGAGTTCTCCCTCTGTAAGGGGCTGATGCTGCTGCCTACCTCATAGGGCTGCTGAGGGGACTGAGTTAGTTGGAACAGTGCTGAGCACGGAGAAGTGTGTGTTGGCTGAGTAAATCCCTAGGGAGGATGGATGCGCACGCTCACTCATTCGCTCTCCGTTGAATAGCCTAGGTTCTAACTACTTGAGAACAAAATGGTGTGACTGTGGCTGTGTGTTGACAGTATAGAAGCAAATTCTTTATGTGTGCATTAGGGATTGAACCTGGGGCTTTGGCCTGGGCTGTGTCGCCAACTGAGTTTGTTTCTGTTTGTGAGATCGGATCTTGCTAAATTGCTGGGCTCGAATTTGAAATCTTCCTGTTTCAGCTTCCCAGAAAAAGCTAACTTTTCCAATTCCACTTTAGTCTGTTTCAATCTTCTGTTGCCCTTCATTTCAGATTTTTTTAAATAAAAAAGATGAGGAAATTGATCGCCTTCTTTATTGTTATCACTTTAATGGAAGAACTACAGAGCCAGGAAGGTGGAAGAGGTGATGTGCAGGTTACTCAGTGAAACACAAGAACCTGCCCCCATGGTATCCCAGACAGTCCCAGGGACCCGCTTGGGTTTACTGCGCTTCCTCCTTATGGTGTTTTGGGGAAATGCCCACTAGGGGGCTCTCTTGCCCCCCCACTGGCCCTTCTTGGTTTAGTGAGAACTTGGGGTAGAAAATCTCCGCTGTTTTTGTTAATCTGTTTGTAGAAGCTACATCTGAGAGAATTTAACTTAGTGTAATGAAAACGGAAAGTGGAGGCTACTTTTTTTGTTTGCTTATTTTAATGTATTTGGTACAAGGTCTCACTATGCAGCTTGGACTCCTAGTGATCCTTCTGTTTCAGCCTCCCCAGCGCTGGGATTACAGGCATGAACTACCATGGATTCAGTGACTGACTCAGTGTGTCCGGGGCGGGGCCAGCGTGTCATGCAATACTGGGGTTTAAACCCTGGTCCTTGTGCTTGCCTAAGCAGGCACTTAGTCCGCTGAGCTATCTTGTCCGCCTTGAGGCTATTAATCAAATAATATACTAGCAACAGGCCCATCAGAAGGGTTTGTTGTCTCTTTTTGCAGTTGTGCCCATTAGATGCTCTGCTGGACTAGTACCAGAAGAGGAGCTGGACAGGGTTCTCTGTTACTGAGTTGTCCCTGTCCCAAGGGTGTTTACACAAGGGAGGACACTCAGGGAGCAGTGCCCTTAGCTGCCTCCACCACCACCCACGCTCCTTTGCAGCCCCTTCTCCCTTTCCTCTTTGTCTGGGCCCAGGGGTTTAGTGCCCCCAGCATCTCCCTAAGGAGACACGCTACTTACTTGCTCCAGGCTCATGTGGTCTTTCTGCAAGCTTTTGAAGAAGACATGACTTTCCAAAGACAGGGTGGGCCTTTCGTGCCGTGCTGCTCATCTGTGGGAGGCTCCAGTGGCCCGGCCACGTCTGGTGTTGGGACCTTCACGTTCGCGTGACTCCCTGCTCTCCTTTCGGTGTACTAAAGCCTGTCGAAGTTGTAGTTTTATCCACTTACAGTTACCTTATGGAAAGTTAAAGATAAACATGATCATCTTTTCTTAATTTAATTTTAATTTTAATTTTTTATTTTTTATTTTTTTCCATAATTTTATTGAGAAACAAATAGCAATGAGACAATTTCAAACCAAATTGATAGGACAGTTTCTTTTTTTTTTTATTTTTCAACAAATAATACATTGCATATATTCTTCTTAGTGGTTAATTGGGACAGTTTCAATAATTAACACGTTGCATACATTCTTCCTTGTGGTTAATTGCTGTACAAGATGCGGGCTTGATATCTTATTTACAAACACCATCAGAACAAACCCCTCTATTCATTAAGAGAATGACTGTATATCTATCCTAACCACTTTGAATTTACAGATACAAAATGGACATTCATCTGTATCCCCCTTTTTTTTTTTTTTGTTAAGTTCCATCATTTAAATATTATAGGTGTTGTAAACTCAGTAAAATATTCTAAAAGAGTCCAGTAGTCCATAATAGTATTGGGTCTTCCGCTTCACTGGCAATGTCAGAAGTTGTTGACCTGAGTCATGATCATCTTTTCTGCTAGACTTTATTTTATTTATTTATTTATTTATTTTGAGATAGGTCTGACTTCTCACTGTGTAGTTCAAGCTAGCTTAATCTTGCTGTGTAGCACAGGCTGCTCTTGAGCTTTCAGCGTTCTCTTGCCACTGCCTCCCGAGTCCTGGGATTATGGATGTGTCCCACCATGCTGGGCTCCTAAGGCCGACTTCCTACCCCTCTGTCCCAGGCAGTTAGTTACCTGTCTGGAGGCAGCAGTGCTGTGAAGTCATCTTTTTTGGGTGATCTTTCATAAATGCCCAAGTTCACACTCCCCTGTATAGATGTTCTGTTCCCATCTCATGTTATTTTTCTGTGGAACTAGGAGTGAACCCAGGGCCTTCACCCTGAGCTTTGTTCTCAGCCCTGTAATGGGCTTCCCTTGTGCTAACAGTGGATCCCCGTCTCTGGTTCCCCACATGTGAGTTTCATGAAACTTTGTATTGGTAACTAATCAGTGGCATTTCATTGTAATGTGTCCGTGTGCAGGCGTGCATGCACACACCTGTGTAACCATTTTTGAGAAAGATCAAGTAATTGTAGTTCATTCTCACTGCTGAATGGCATTTCATTGTGTGTATATGAACAAATGCTTATAGAGCCATTCTGCTCTTTCTGAGAATTCGGGTATTTTCAGTATTTAGTATTAGGAAAAGTACTGCCGCCAGGCGTGGTGGCCTGGAGTCCCAGCACCTGGGAGACTGAGCAAGGCAGGAAGGTTGAGGCAGGGGGGTTGCTTCAAGCCCAGGGCCAGCCTGGGCTGCATGGTGAGATACTGTCTCAAGAAAAGAGGAAAAGTACTGCTATGACTATCTTATGTTTGTTTTTAATGACCATATTTGTGCCTAACGGTGGCATATGTAGGAGTAGAACCGCTCGCTGTGTGGTTAGATAGGAATATTAGATGTGATCGACAAATAGTGAATGTTTAAAGTTTTAAAATTAGCACAGTAACAGTAAAAGACATTGCTCTAATCTTCCAAATGCTTCCTGCTTCACACTTCCCCTGTCATTCTTGGCACTTTCTGAAGCAGTTTGAAGCCTGTCTTGTGAGTGTCTTAGTTTCACTATCGTGGCTGTCTCAATGTCCTGATTGAATTCACAGCGTTTACCTTTTGTAGCCATTTTGACGTTGGGGAAGATCCAGAAGTTGCCTGGTGCCAGGTCGGGTGAAGAGGTGGCTGAGGGCACTGTCGTGTGCTTGTGAGCTGCCTTTTTGTTGGATGGCACCAGCAGCAGCACTCACTGTACGTGTAGCTTCTGCCACACCTTGTAAAGGCACTCATGAAGGAAGCCTTTCAGAACTGCTTCAGAAAGTGGCAAGGACAGTGGGATAGCATGTGTGAAGTGGGGGAGGATTTTGAGGGGGACCATAGCAGTGTATGTTTTACTGTAATAAGTTAATTGTATATTGTGATCACACCTCATGTTTGTTCAGCTGTGGAAGTCATGCTAGCAGACACTTTCCAAAGTGCTCGTGCAGTTTAGCCTCCCCCTGGGTGCGTGAGACTGCCTTTACATCCCAGCCAGCTCATTTTGATGAGTGTGTAGCGCTCAGCTCTTTGTGGCTAATGAAGTTTTAGGTAGCTCGTTTTTTTTTAATATTTATTTTTATTTATTACATTTATTTATTGTGTGTGTGTGTGTGGCCAGCTCAGCCCACCAGGGGGTGGGGCTGGCTGGCATGTGGTGCTGGGGATCGAACCATGGTCCATGTGCTTTGCCAAGCTTGTTTCAAGTAGGTGCTTTAGACCACTGAGCCATCTCTCCAGCCCCGGTAGCTCGTTTTTGGAACTACTTGTTTGTCTTTCCTTCACTTCTCTATTGATCATCTTTTACTCAGTGACTTGAGGAATCTGTAGTACATTTTTCGTTTTGGTGGTACCAGGGATTGAACTCAGGACCTTGCACTTGCCAGGCAAGCACTTACTCCACAGAGCTGTCTTCCTGACCTCTCCCCACCACAGTACATTTTGATAAGTATTTTCTTGCCACATGTGCAGATGTGACTGCAGATCTCCGTTCCATTCAGGAAGTCTTTCAGGTCTGGTCATGTGATTGAAAATGACTGGAGGAGGGCCTGCCCACAGTAGGTGTGCAGGGTCTGTCTAGAGAGGACCTGGCATCTGATTTATCAAAACGTAGCGAGGAGCTCCCCCGGAAGTGCTTGGAGATGACCACTCAGGCACAGGCAGCAGCACGAACAAAGGCGCTGAGGTGGGACAAAGCTTGCTGTGCTAGGGACGGCAAGAGCGCCACCATGGGACGGGAGAAAGAGGCCGTGAGAAGAAGTAAGGCCCATCAGTGCCTGTCAGCCGCCCTGGAGGGGGAGAGCAAGACTCTAGGCCTGCAGCCTGGCAGTGTGACTTGCACCGTTGGCTTCCAGGAACGCTGGTGCTTTGTCCTCCTCCTGCCCGGGAAGCTGTGCCTGATGCTGGCTCCATCCTCTGTCTCGCAGGTGTGGTGGACACAGGCCTGTTCATCAACATGGCGGAGCGAGTCTACTTTGGGATGCAGGACGGCTCAGTGGATATACGGGAGAGGCCACAGCTGATCCTGCAGGGAGCGGAACGCTCGCTTTGAGTCTCCAGCCACGCCATGGTGGACACGGTGCCTCCTGCAGCCTTCGCCTTAACGTGACCATGCCGGGGTGGACAGCTGGCCGCGAGGAGGGGCAGTGGATTAGATCCAGTCTTCTGAAGTATTGTTATTATATGTCTTTTTAAAAAAAGAGATTTAAAAAAATATATATTTTTACTGTTAAACATACTGTTTTTTTATATAAAGTAGAACTTGATTTCATGTTTTATATAAAATATTTACCAAAAAAATGGAGGGAAGGGGAGGGTTGGGACTGTCTTTGACACTTTTGACTTGAGCCTGTTGGTTAAGCTTCTTCTGAACATTGGGTTTGCTGAGAAATTAAAATCAAAACTTTTAAGTTGGTGAAATGAAGGGCCCAGCCAGCGTTGACCTCCCGATGCCTTACAGGAAACTCTGTTTACTTCTCTGCTGCTTTGTTTTGTTTTGTTTTTTGTTTAGGTAGCTTTATGATCACGCACAATTCCTGCTTACATTTGAAGATCAAGTTTACAGAAGTCTGAGAAGAGCAGCAAGGGCTGTAGGGACTTGGAGCAGGGAGAAAACATAAGATTTTGTTCTGATCAAGGGGTTGTTCTGACCCTGTTGTTGAAGCAGTCGGCCAGAGCACTGGCTGGCCCCGCCGAGCACTGCTGTGAAATGTGAAGTACTTGTGTTTTTAAAAATGATTTTCTTTTTGTTGATTTTTGTTGTTGTTCCTTTAGTGTTGCATGATTCAATGTCAGAAGTCGTCACCTATTTATGTTATTTGAAGGTTGAAATAAAACATTGTGGTGCCATTTTGACTCTGTCTTTACTACGGAATTTGCTGGGAAATGGGGATCGCTTTGACTCCTGCAGTTTTTGTCAGGTAAGGGGTGGAAATCTTGTGCCACAGACTTGGTACCAGCACAGAGTCTCTCAAGGTGCCTGATGTCTTTCAAGCGAGATGACACTGCTGAACAAAGTCATCATTCCAGGTTGTCCCAGAGCCACAGTGTCTGCAGTCATGAAAGCCGCTGCGCAGTCAGATGGGGACCCTGACCTTTCCTCTTAGCCTGGGAGGCCTCAAACTGTCCAGAGGCCGCTTAGGCAGGGGAGGGAAGGGCGGGACCGCTCGCAGTGATTGCAGATCTCGGTGGGCCCAGCACCTCCGTGCCGCAGCAGCTCTGCTGTTGGGGGCTTTGTCCAGGGAGCCCGCTTGCTCCCCATGCTACTTGTGCACAGTATTTGAAAACTCATCTCCTCAGCTGACCCCGATTGGAAGCGTGAGCTCTGAATTGAGTCACACGGTAAACATTAGGGCTGGGGACTGCAGAGGCTTCTCTGCGTTCTTCCCTTCTCATTCTGAATCTGCAGGAGTCGGGTCACAGTGGGTGGGAAGGGGTTAGCAGGGCTTTATTTTTCCTTAGAACTTTGAGTTTGAGCAAAAGATCCTTGTTACACAAAAATGTGCACGAAATCTCAGCCAGAAACCGCTGCAGAACAAATTTGCAAGATAATCCAGTCTTTGTGGTGTGGATTTAATTCAGGGATAAAGATAAACACGGTTAAACTTGTTTCTGAGAAACACCTGCACGGCTCCGCATTACATGCAAATGCTGCGTGGGTGGCGCAGGGTGGCCTGTGGGCACGCTGCAGGGCTGTTGAGTGTTGGGGGGAGGTTCTGGGGTAGAAAGCAAAACACCGGCTTTGCCTGCAGTGCGTGTTGCTGGAGGTAAATCCTGATTAAAGATTTCTCAAAATTTCTAAGTGTAACCCAGCTGGCAATAATTTGGGTGAAATCATGAGTTTCCTAACATAGCGTCAGTCCGGAGGGCACAGGACCGGCTGCCAGTGTGGTGCTGGGGAAAGGCTTGTGTCCAGGACGGGCTGCTTCCATCCCCAGGCCTCGAAGGAGGAAAATCACTTGGGTTTGAATAAAATGTACTTCATTTGGTTTCAACTGGAGGTCATACAGTGGTTTTTTTTATTTTTTATTTTTTTATAATAAACACTAGAAACGATACAGAATTTCACTAAGCAAAATGATAGGAATTCAACAATGGTTGTTATATTGGCATATTGTCTTC